ATATATATATATATATATATATCTGTGTGTGTGTGTGTATGTTTGTTTTGCTGACGTTTGAAATAATGATTGGTGTTGATGTAATAATTCAGGTTCATTCGCGGTTGTGTATCGTGGAATCTGGAACGGATCGGTAGGGCCGCCGAATCTGATTCAGAATTACATTTCTTATCATAAAGAAGAATAGATGCCCATCTCATTAATATTTTTGTATTCTTTTTTTAAGGATGTTGCGGTTAAGGTTTATTACGGGAATCAGTACACCGAGCAGGTTTTGCTCGATTACAGAAAAGAGGTATATATATGTATAATATAATGAATTCTCCATTCAGCGGATTGATTTTATCCAACTCCATCGATGCTTTTAGAACCGAACGTGCTTCTTCAGATTGATATAATGAGAAGACTGAGGCATCCAAATGTATTACTGTTCATGGGAGCGGTGTGTACAGACGAAAAACTTGCTATAGTCACCGAATACTTGACCAGGTTTGGAAAATAAATTAATTAAAAAAATAAGAAAAATTCTTTTCTGTTTGGGTTATTTTTCATTTTCGAATATGAACAGAGGAAGTTTGTTCAAAGCACTTCATAAGAACAACCAATCATTGGACATCAGAAGACGTCTGAAGATGGCTATTGATGTGGTGTGTTTCTCTGCTGAAGTAAAAAGATTTTTTTTTAATAATTTCTTTTATTTATTTATTTGATACAAGTTTTTCGGTTCGTTCTTGGTTTTACAGGCGAGAGGGATGAACTATTTGCATCATAGAAATCCTCCCATAGTACACAGAGATCTCAAATCGTCAAACCTTCTTGTCGATAAAAGCTGGACAGTCAAGGTGTATTCTCTATGGCATATTGGAATAATAATAATTGTTAGAATTAGCGCAAGAATTTTGAATATTCAAGTTACATAAACATCGGTACTTCCCAGGTTGGAGACTTTGGCTTATCGAAGTTGAAATGTGCCACTTTCTTAACTGCAAAATCCGGGCGAGGCACAGTTAAGATCTTCACTAATTATGTCCTAATCCTTATCCAATTTGTTTGATCTCGTATATATATATATTATTGCACTTTGTCTAATTTTAGTACTCGTTTTTTGGAATTACTGCAGCCTCAGTGGATGGCACCAGAAGTCCTTCGGAATGAACCTTCAACAGAAAAGTAATCCTCCGCAACCAAAAGTATTCGCAATGGATTATATTTCTGAAGCTTGTGACATTATCTAATGTCTTAGTATTACAAGGATTATCTTTATTGTTTTTTACATTTATATTATTCGTCTTTTTATCAGGTCAGATGTCTTTAGCTATGGTGTCATCTTGTGGGAACTAATGACACAACGTGTTCCATGG